CTTTCATCTGGTTTGGTCTGCCGCGGTTTCCGTAGACTTGTGAACGCGCTTTTAGGAAATCCTATACACCTACTTCGAAAGAACTTTTAGGAACAATACACAGAAGATTCAGCTCTCACCGGCGGGGGAGGGAAGTGGGCGGCCAGTCAGGCTGGCGTTTGACTGGGAACGGCCATTTTGAATGGCTGCTACTGTAGTTCAATTATTATTATGAGCTAATGCATGTTAGAAATGAGAATGTATTATTCTCTGCCTGTACTCCTCTAGGCCCAATGTGTCAGACCTGTTGTGTGTTTCTGGACTTCTTGCAGTGAAGCAGCCCCCCACCATAACCAAACAGTCAGCCAAGGACTACATTGTGGACCCCAGAGACAGCACCATCGTCATTGAGTGTGAAGCCAAAGGCAACCCTGTGCCGACGTAAGCAGTGCACACTCACAGATCCACAGCAAACTTCAAAACACACCAAGTCACAGTTTCTGGTCCAGGAAATGCAGTTTCAAATCTCCAACCAGTGATGAAGCTCAACAGGCTACATGTCCACCGTCAGAATCCTTTTCAATTACGTGAACATTTAAAGTGTCTCATTGTTTCAGGTCTTTACGTTCAAAGGTTCTTTAACCTCTTACACATACACCTAGTTTTAATTAATCCTCGCTTTTTTTTGCATACCCAAGTCCAAATTACACGTAAGCCCCTGTATCACCTTGACGATTTAGACCAGCATATGCCTGATGTGCAAAACATCTGGCAAAAATGCTGGCATACGTAGGATAAGTTATGGGTACGTTTGGTATGAGTTATGAGCACGTTGAGGTACCCTGAAACATGCTGGTGTCATGTTTGGTTTAAGGTTTCTAACCCACATGCAGAACACACGGACTCAAGGGAAAAAGTTCAAAGGTTTATCGAAAACAACACAGAGAATAAAGAACTGATCCAAGGGGTTATTAGATCCAGGACTGGTCACGACTGGGTTCACTGCAGAGGGGGACAGAGTGGTTAGCTGAAGTCCAGGTAATTTGCAGGGTTAGAGAGTGCAGGTCTGTACCTGATCTGGAGTTGAGCAGAGCAGCAGAGAGGGGGAACCAGGAGGATCCAGAGGCTGTCGGCAGGCTGAGGGCTTGGCGGAGGCAGAGCTTGGTTTGAGAGTTTGCAG